GTAGAGAAACCAAAAGTTAATGAGATTTATACCACGTGCTTCAACATGTGTGAAATTGAGTGAACAATAGGACCTGAGAAAACATTTCTTTTGGGGTATAAAAAGCCATGAGGTTAGGGCCAGCAGGTGGCGTGATGGTTAAGACGCTGGATCCCACATGACCAACTACAGTTTGAGTCCCGGACCCAGTGTCTTGAGAATCAAGTTACATGTGCATGTGTGCCCCAAGTCCCAAGAGGAGAATGGAGGAGGAGAGATTGCAGGTGGCCATTCCCCCTGGGGTGGGGGGGTAATTTCTCATTTTACCTCCCTTCGTCTTTTCTGGTAAGTGCACACAACCTATGGGGAGGGGAAAAAAAAAAAGAAGCCATGTGGCTGTCAGATATAGCATGCTGGTACATTTGAATTCATTCTCAAACAAATTCAGGCAGCAGAACTATGCCGAGCTTTGTGTTCTAACAGGAAAGATACCTTTTTTGGGCTCCTGCCACTTGCTCACCTCATGGACAAACGGAATGTGTGTGGAGAGTGTACTAAGTGCAATAGAGTAACTTTGCTTTTCTTAAAAGCCCAAGGACACCTCCGGCCACTTTGGGCTCTGTGACTTACTAACATTGGGCAAGTACGTACTTCTCTTAGAACTTAGTTTCTTCGCAGTTGAGAAAGTGAGGGAAAAAAGCCACGCCCCTGGGCTGTAGAGAGAACTCCGGGAAGACAGAGAAAACTGCGTCCATAATCAGGGATGCTCTAAATCTCAGAGTCCTCCCTTGTCCCCGTTTCTTCTCAAGACTGCCAAATTCAAGGACATTTATTATGTTCTCTCTCTCTCTCTTTTTTTTTTTTGGAGAGGTTTTTGCTATAGGGCGCGTGCACTTGCCAGAAAGACAGAGAGAGACAGAGAGACAGAAAGCGAGAAATCACCCCCCAGGGGGGATGGTCACGCCGCAATCCCTTCTCCTCCATTCTCCTCTCGGGATCTTGGGCACGCACGCACATGTGCCCGGCATGAGTTTTAAGCCACTGGGTCCGGGACGTGAACCGCGGTCGACTACGTGGGAGTCCAGTGACATAGCATTACGCTAACTGCTGGTTCCCAAGTTCTCTTTTTGCTGTTGACATACTGTCATGTGTCTTATTCCTCAAGGTCTTGGTCCACTGTGGAAGGACCGACACAGGGCCGAGACCCACAGGAGGGTGCCAGGCCTCGTCTTCGGTATTCCCTTCGCTACCTGGCATCAACTAAATGTCCAGAATACTGACACGTCAAACTGAGTTTTCCCGGCACCATTGTTGTCCAGGCTCCAGTATGCTATCCAAAGATGGAATTAATATAGACTCTTAAAGGATACATAAACACACATTTCAGCGTTTGTAATTTTCTTCCTCAGGAGGTGAGGTGGTAGCAGAAAGCACTTCTCTTCCAGCGTGCGTCTGAGGCCACCTGGGAGTCTCCCAGGTCTGGCACACACTTAGGATGGCGGCCTTTCCTTCCTGCAGCCTCCCCATGCCCTGTCCTGCCATGGAAGACGCTTGCCCTCTCAGGCTTCCTTGGCACCAGTGCACACCTTCCTCGGCATGCTGCCGTGTGTGTGCATGTGTGTGTATGTGTATGTGTGCAGCTTACTGTGGTCTCCTTCAGACATGTTCCATTCATGCATAAAACCTATGCCTTTCTTCCACACAGGAGGTGCGGTCGAATACTTGTTGACAGAAACAAGGACAGTCATTTTGTGTTGTGTTGTGTTGTGTTGTCTTAAACCCAGTGTCACCATCTCTTTCCATTGGATCAGATCTTAGAAGCATGGCAACCCTCCGGCACCTGTGTCTAGCTTCCCTCTCAGAATCCTTTTCCCTTGCCAGTTGAGCATTGAGCTGAGCATTGTAGTCCAAGCACATTTGTCTTAAATTGGAAACTAAATTACATTTCCATTTTTCAGTTGAGAGAGCCAACTCCCTCACATTGGTGCGATTGAGTGATTGAGTGTCTGTCAGATAAAATCTGGTGGGGTGTGGTGGGAGTGTGTTGGGGGGGCAGAACAGCAGTGTAGGTAACCATGGCAACAGTGACGCCTCTGCTGTTGCCTCTGAGGATAGTAACGGTGGGTACTTAGAAGGGCTTGTCGTGTGCTGGGCACACACCGAGGGTTTGTCTCGTTTCCTGTGCTGAGGTGTATTACCTGGCCACAACACTCTGAGGTAGACATGGCTGTCCATGTTTTCCAGGCAGGAAATGACAGCACAAAGAGATTACACACTTTCTTTAGCTAGAAGAGTAGAGATGCCCAGAAATTCCCGCCCCAGCTGTATGGGTACTCAGGCTCCAGTATTAACACGCCTGCTCTCAGGTGTCACCCTGAGCGGATTTCTTAAGCCCTTTAAGCCTTAATATGTTTCATTTGAAAACATAGCAATACCCGCTTCTGGGGGTCATGATGGCAGTTACATTATTAACAAATGGGACAATCCGAGCATGCTGGTAGCTCACCTGCTGCTCGTGGTCAATACCCAGTGCATGTGGAGCTGTTTGCGTGCCTGTTGGTGAAATGATATAAAACTTAGGGACTGAGGGGACCAGCAGTTAGTGTAATGGCTTTGTCACTGGATTCCCACGTAGTCGACCGTGGTTCGCGTCCCGGGCCTGGTGGCTTAAAACTCACCCCGGGCGCATGTGCATGTGTGCCCAGGATCCCGAGAGGAGAACGGAGGAGAAGGGATTGTGGCGTGGCCATCCCCCCTGAGTGGTTATTTCTCACTTTCTGTCTCTCTGTCTCTGTCTGTCTGGTGAGCGCACGTGCCCTATAGCAAAAACCTCTCCAAA